CTACTTTGCAAACACCCTATGCCCAGCCCCAGGTCATGGTAATCTTTGAGAAAGGAGCTTCTGCGCACATTTGGTGCACCAGCTTTTGTGGTTTCTGCTCACAAGAAATAACCCTTGATAGCCTGGCTCTGGTGGCTAGTGGGTATTGTATTCATGGGTCTAATGGGATGGCACAAAGGAAGAAATGGTTCTTAACTATCATGCAGGGCTCAGTACAGAGGAAGCAGAATGAAATGTCCATCTTCCAGGCTTCCATGGAAAGAGGTATATATGTATAACTTAAAAGCTGCTGCCCAAAGTCTGGCTTCCAATCAGCCTGAATTTAGGTGCTGACTGAGGTCTTCCCTTTTAGGACACTGGCAGGTCTTGGGAAACCCTCAACAGCTGGCAGCCACTAAGAACCAAGTAGGTGGTTTGGACAATCACAAGGATATGAGAGACAGCCAAGAAAGAGGACAGAGTTAAACATTAAGGTTCATCTCCTACATGAGGCAACGCCTTCAAGACTGGGAGAAGAGGTTGTTTCATCAAATACATAGAAACCAACACAAAATGTCAGGAAAACTGAAGAAACAAAGGAATATGTTCCGAATAAAAGGACAAGATAAAAACTTCAGGAAAATACTTAATGAAAAAGAGATAAATGATTTACATGACGAAAAATTCAAAATAAGTAATAAATAGCCCACCAATGCGAGATAGCCCACCAACGTCAGAAGAAAACATGAAAGAAGTGAGAATTTCAAGAAACAGAAAATAAAGGAAAGTACTCTACAGAAATGATGAAGTTGAAGAATACAACAACTGTACTGACAAATATGAGGGTTCAAAAGCAGACTAAGAGCAAAACAAAAGATCAGTGAACTCAAAGACAGGGCAGTTTAACTCCTCCAACTAGAGCAGAAAAAGGAATAAAAAAAGAGCAAAGATAGTTTAAGGAATTTATGGGAAAACATCAAGAGGACCATTATTCGCATCAGGTTCCCGGAATGAGGAGAGAAAAAGGGCAGAAAATTTATGTGAAGAAATAGTGGCTGAACACTTCCCTAATCAGGGGAAGGAAACAGCATCCAGATTTATTTATATATATAATATAAATAAATCATCAAAAGTTAAAAGCAAGGACAGACTGTATGAAGAAGCAAGAGAAAAACAACTTCTTATATACAAGGGAATCCCCAAAAGACAATTAGTACATTTTCCAGCAGAAAAATTATAGAAGGATGTGGCATGATATATTTAAAGCTCTGAAAAAACTAAACTGCCAACCAAGAATACTCTACATGGTAAAGTTATCCTTCAGAATTGAAGGAGATATAAAGAGTTTTCCAGAAAAATAAAACATGGAGTAATGACCAATAGCCCAGTCCTATAAGAAATGTTAAAGGGACCTTTTAAGCTGAAACAAAAGGGTGCTAGTCAGTAACAGGAAAAAAATACAAGTATATAAATCTCACTGGTAAAAATTAACATACAGTAAAATTTAGAAAAACCTAATGTTGTAAACGTGATAGATTAATCACTTATACAAACACTAGTATGAAGGTTAAAAGACAAATGTAAAAATAACTATAACTGCAATAATTTGAAAGTGAACATGCAAGATAAGATGATGTAAATGGTGACTTCAAAAATATAAAATGGGGGTAAGTAAAAATGTAGAGCTTTAGACTGTTACCAAATTTGTTATTGACTTAAAACAGACTATTATAAATTGTTTTATGTCAGCATTATGGTAACTACAGAGCAAAAACCTAGATTAAGTACACAAAAGATAAAGAGAATGGAATCTAAGACTGCCACTACAGAAAATCATCAGATCACAAAGTAGGAGATCAAGAGAAGTAGAGAGGAAAAAAGAAATTACAAAATGGCTATAAAACAATAAACAAAATGGCAATAACTCCATACCTATCAATAATTAAGTGTACATGGACAAATTCTGGGAAAACAAACAAACAAGCAAGCAAAAAACCCAGAGAGTAGCTAAACAGATTTTTAAAGTCATCTATATCTTACCCACAAGAGTCTCACTTAGATGTACAAACACACGCAGTCTGAAAACGAAGGGATGGAAAAATATATCCCATGCTCTTGGAAACCAAAAGAAAGCTGTGGTGGCAATACTTACATGAGACAAAGAAGAACATAAAACACAGACTGTAATAAGAGACAAAGAACAAAGTAGGTCATTACATAATGATAAAGGGATCAGTACAATAAGAGGATATGACATTTGTAAATATTTATGCACCCAACATAGAAGCATCCAAATATAAAAGCAAATATTAACAGACCTAAAGGGTAAAACAGCCATACAATAATAATAAGGGACTTTAATACTCCACTGACATCGCAAATGGATATATTCTTAGAAACATACAACCTTCCAAGGCTGAATCATGAAGAAACAAAATCTGAGCAGACTGATTACTAGAAAGGAGATAATAAGTAATCAAAAACCTCCAACAAACAAAATCCAGAATCAGACAGCTTCACTGGTGAATTCTACCAAATATTCAAAGAAGAATTAATACCAATCTTCTCAAATTCTTCCAAAAATTAGAAAAGAAGGGAACACGTCCAAACTCATTTTATGGGACAAGCATTATCCTGACACCAAAACCAGTCAAGACACCACAGTAAAGAAAATTACAGGCCAATATTCCTGATAAACAGAAATGCAAAACTCCTCAACAAAATATTAATAAGCTGAATTCAACAATACAACAAAAGTATCATATGCTCTGATCAAGTGGAATTTATTCCAGGGGTGCAAGGATGGTTTTAACACCCTCAAATCAATCAATGTGATACACAACATTCACAAAATAAAGGATAAAAGTCATGTGATCATCTCAAAAAAGCAGAAAAAAGCATTCAACAAAATTTAACACCCATTCATGATAAAAACTCTCAACAAAGTGAGTATAGAGAAAAAGTACTTCAACAAAATAATGGCCATATATCACAAGCCTCCAGCTAAAATCATACTCAAGGGAGAAGAGTCAACTGTTTTTCTTCCATGATCAGCAACAACTCAAGGATAACCACTCTCACCACTTTTATTCAATAAAGAATTGGAACTCCTAGCCAGAGCAATAATGCAACAACAATAACAAATGAAAGGCATCCAATTCAGAAAAGGAGAAGTAAAACTGTCTCTATCTGCAGATGACACTGTGTGACATACAGAAAACTCTAAAGATTTTATCAAAAAACTGTTAAACAAATACAATAAGCTTGCAGGATAGAAAATGAATATACACAAATCACTTGCATTTCTATTCACTAATTATGAACTCAGAAAGACAAATTAAGGAAACAATCCTATTTATTGTACAACTGCATCAAAAAGAATAAGATACCTAGAAATAAGCTTAACCAAGAACATGAAAGATCTGTACACTGAAAATCATAAGATGTTAATAAACGACATTAAAGAAACAGAAATAAATGTTAAGATAGCCCACACTCATGGATTGGAAGAACTAATTTTGTTAAAATGTCCATACTACCAAAAGCAATCCATAGATTCAATGCAATCCCAAAGGCATTTTCCACAGAAATAAAACAAACAATCCTAAAATTAGTATGGAACTACAAAAGACCCTAAAGCCAAAGCAATACTGAGAAAAAAGAACAATGTTGGAGACATAACACTCCCTGATTTCAAACTATATTACAAAGCTATAGTAATCAGAACAGAAAAACAGACACATAGATCACTGGAACAGAATAGAGAGCCCAGAAATAAGCCCAGGCACCTATGGTCAATTAATAACAAAGGAGCTAAGAATATACAATGGGGAAAGGACAGTCTTTTCAATAAATGGTGTTGATAAAACTGAGCAGCCACATGCAAAAGAATGAAACTGAACCACCATCTTACACCATACACAAAAATTACCGAAAAATGGATTAAATTCTTAAGCATAAGACCTGAAACCATAAAACTCTTAGAAGAAAATAAAGGTAGTAAGCTCCTTGAAATTAGTGTTGGTAATGACGTTTTGGATTTGACACCAAAACCAAAACAACAAAAGCAAAAATAAACAAGTGGCACTACATCAAAAAAGCTTCTGTACAGCAAAGGAAACCACTAACAAATGAAAAGGTAACATAATAGATGGGAGAAAATATCTGCAAATCATGTATCTGACAAGGGGTTAATATGCAAAATATATAAAGGACTCCTATAAAACATTAGCAAAAAAACAATCTGATTGAAAAATGGGCATAAGTTCTGAATAGATATTTTTCCTAAGAACACATACAGATGGCCAACAGGTACTTGAAAAGGTGCTCAACATCACTAATCATCAGGGAAATGCCAATCAAAACCACAAAGAGATATTACCTCATACCTGTTTGAATGGCTATTAACAGAAACACAAGAAATAAGAAGTGTTAGCATGTGGAGAAAAGGAAACCCTTGTGCACTTTTGGTAGAAATATAAATTGATGCAGCCATGAAAACAGTATGGGGTTTCTTAAAATAATTTAAAATAGAATTATATTTTCCTGCAATTCCACCTCTGGGTACTTATCCAAAGGAAGCAAAAAGACAAATACCATATGATCTCACTTGTATATGGAATCAAAAACAAAACAAAGCAACACCAAAAAACCCCACAAAAAGAAAACATAAAACAACCAATTCAGATACAGAGAACAGATCTGTAGTTGCCTGAGACAGGGGGTGGGTGAAGTGGGTGAAGATAGTTAAAAGGCACAAACTTCCAGTTATAAAATAAGTAAGCGCCCAGGATGTAAAGTACAGCTTGATAACTACAGTTAATAATACTGTATCGTATATTTAAAAGATGCTAAAAGAACAGAACTTAAAAATTCTCATCATAGGGAAAAAAACTGTAACTACATGTGGTGATGGAAGTTAACTAGACTAACTGTGATAATCATTTCACAATATATTATGTTGAACACAAACTAATCTAATGTTATATGCCAATTACATCTCAATAAAATAAATTAAATACCTTCAGATTATATTTATGAGCTTTATCCAAAATAGTTGGTACCAAGTTATCAGTAGGTTCTCCATTCTCATCATTTGAGTCAGGTGGGTACCAAGATAGGGCTAGTACACCTAATAGAAACAACCAAAAAGAAAAGAAAAATAAACACAGGAACAGAAATGAGGTATTGTTAAAAAAATAAAGGTATTGTTAAAAAAATACAGGTATTGTTAAAAAAAAAAATACGGCAGAATAAGGACCAAATTGTTAACAATAAAAAGAAACATATTCTCAAATAATGTTGTTTTGTTACTTTACTTAGATACCACTTAAGTTTATTTGATTACTTTGTATACTCAATACTTTAAACTTTTTATCAGGCATCGGTATCTTTTAATTAATTAGTAGATTTTACTTTCTAGAATAAGTTTTATATTTACAGAAAAATTATACAGAAAGTAGAGTTTCTATCTTCTCCTCTCCTACTCACCATCCCCCCATGCCACACAGTTTCTGTTAGTATTAACATCTTACATTAGTGTAGTAAACTTGTTACAACTGATGAACCAATGTAGGTATATCATTAACTAAAGTCCAGAGTTTACATTAGGGTTCCCTCTTTGTATTGTACAGTTCTATGGCTTTTGACAAATGTATAGTGTCATGAACTGACTATTACAGAAATAGTTTTACAGCCCTCAAAACCCTTTGTACTCCACTTATTAATCCCTCCTCCATGTCCTTCCTCAATCCCCCAGAAAATAACTGATCCTTTTACTATCTCTGTATACTTTGCCTTTTCCAGAATGTTAGGTAGGTGGAATCATAAAGTAACATTTTCAGACATTTCTTATACTCTGAAATATGCATTTAAGTTTCATGTCTTTTTAAGACTTGACAACTCATTCTTTTTATTGCTGAATAATGTTCCATTGTATCAGTGTGCCACAGTTTGTCCACTTACCTATTGAAGACATCTTGGTTTCTTACAATTTTTGGCAATTATAAATAAAGCTGCTATAAACATTTATGTGCAGATTTTTGTGTGGATCAATATCACTTAACAGAAGATTCAAGAAATTTTTTAAATTACAGTTTATCCCTGTAGTACCTACTTACTTTTGAACTGATAAACTACAAAAAGAAAGTTTTAGAAACAATAAGCCTGCAAAGAAATTACTAACTGGAGAGGGAAATCTTTGAAATCAACTAATCCAAAGCCTCATTACATATATAAAGAAGCAAGAGGCCACTAAAAGTATTGTACTAATTTCTAAATCATTTAACAGACTCTTTCAGACAAGGAGGAAAATGCAATGTTATCAAAAGACAAGCATGTGGAAATACAGAAAAGGCAAGGTTAGAAACTGGCAGAGAACTAAATTTTAAGACTTAAATTTGTGTTAACTATGTCATGTATAAACAGCGGTCCCATCTAAAGACAAAACAGAACTTCTAGGTTAAGTTAACAACAACAACAACAAAAGATATCTGTCCCCTATACAATCTGAAAATAAAAATAGCAATAAGAACAAAAAAAGATAGAAAAAAGAATCTATAATATATGGGGCTTCAGGGGAGATTATGGCTACCTAAGAAAGCAGTCATATGGAAAAACAATGTTGAGAAAAGTGTCAGAAGACAACTGATCAAACATTCAAGCTGCCTACTTCTCCAGCTTATAAGAAGAACATCACCAATGAAAAGTAACAATAAAGATTTTCTCAACCTGGGACCTATGAAAAAATCCTGCAAAAAAAATGGTGAAAAAGAACATGGGAAAACATTATAAAGGAGAAACATACAAAAGAAAGATTATGCCATAGAGCTCAGGAAAATTATGAACACTGCATGCTTCGATGAAATTAAAAACAAGATTCCTGTTTCTAATAGATTAGGTTACTTAGACCAACATTCCCAACAAAAACAAATTATTAAATAAGATATGGGAACAAAAAATTTCCAAAAGCCAAAGAACTGAAGAGAGTAAAGAATTACCTGTCTAAAATAAAGTGAAAATGTGAAGTCAGAGAAGTAACTGAGAAAGGAAGTCAGTCTGCCCTGAGCATAATTAGGAGAAGTAAACCAGCCCTCAAAATCAGTGGATTAGATCCCAGGTGGACAATGCTTGGGAAGTCCTCTAGCTTGAAAGGGAATTTAAGGTGGGTGATATTTTCTACTGTACAGCACAGATATAGAATATTTTCTATATCTACAAGCACAGATATAGAATATTTTCATTATCACAGAAAGTTCTATTGTACAGCATTGCCAGTATTCTGATTCTCTAAACACCTTATCAACTTGTTCTTATCCAATGATTTTTTCTTCCTCCCTATCCTTGCTGAAGGTATACTCTAAGACTTGGGGAGAATGTTCTCTGTTCTTCCTTATCCTCTTATTGTGTTTCAGTCAATTATCACTTCCACATGTTGAATTATACCCCCATATTGTGCTCTACAATCCAATTTATCCTTGTACAGTGTCTTCTGGGCTGTGTCACTCATGAGCTTTGAATAAGTAATGGCCTGGGAACCAAGCCAATGACGGTCCTACTCCTGAGGAGAACTGGCCCATTTAAATGTTAATGAATCCTTCACAGTAACCCAAAAGGTTTCTCTAAAATATGTAAACCAAGTATCATTTATAAATAAAATCTTTTACTGTGTATTTCTACCACTCCAATTGCTAAGGGAAAAGGGATACGCTTTAAAGTCCATTCTTAGAATATTAGCATATTAAATGCAGACCACTTCATAATGATCACATCCTCCCTCCACAGCACTTACCACTGGATCCTCAATATAACTGATACCCAACAATATTTTTGTTAAGCTGAATGCTTCTAAACAGGGTAATAGTTAAAAACGCAGGTAGGAAATCAGATAGACCTGGAGAATCCAGTCCCAGTTCTGTCATTTGATAGATATTTAACTTTAGGTAAGTCTGTCTACTTAAGTTTTCACATTTGTAAAATGGGAATAAATTCAGTTCATAACCTAAAAGCCTGTTTTAAAAAGTATACATGAGAGAATGAACTATGAAGAGCAAGACCTCCCCCAAAAAGTGATTAAAAAAAACATTTAATAACAAGAAGACAGTAAAACAGTATGTAAATTTGTTACCTCAACAGAGCTTGTGATAGCTTCTTTTACATATAGGGAACTTAGTGCTTCTTTCAAACATCTCAAATGTTCTTTCAAACTAAAGATTAAACAGAAAGAAAGCAAGCCCATTTCCAGGCATAAACACAATTATGCAGGATGACAATTTCAAGAAAAATTATAAGACATAAAAAAGCAAGAAAAATAATGCACATTCAAAACAATCAATAGAGCCAGACTCAGATCTGAAATAGATGTTGAAATCACTAAACAAGGAATTTTAAATTACTATTATGATTAAATGTTAAAAGATCTAATGGGAAAGATAGTCAACATGTAAGGTCAGGTGGAAAATATTAGCAGAGAGATGAAAACTAAAAGAATCAAATAGAAATGCTGGAAATGATAAAAACATTAAAAGAGATGAAGAATGCCTTCAACAGACTCATGAACAGACACAGCAGAGCTGAGGAAAGAGTCAGGTAATTAAGCATGTCACAAGAAATTATCATAACAGAAATGTAATTAGAAAAAATGACTGGGGGCAAAAAACAATAAACAATGCATCCAATACCTCTGGGATAAATATCAAAGTTCTAACATACATGTAATTGAAAGCTCAGAAGTGAAAGGTATATAGAGAGAAATAACAGCTAAGAATTTTGCAAAGTTAATGACAAAAAGCAAGAAATTAAAGAAGCTCAGAGAACACGGAGAAGGCTAAATACCAAAAAACAACAACTAAAGATATATTAAAACTGCTAAAAATCAAAAACCAAGAAAAAACATTGCATAGAAAGTCAGAGAAAAAAGACAGATACATATAGGAAAATTAAGATATAAAAAGATGTTTAAAAATTACAGCATACTTCTTTCTCATCAGAAACCATGAAAGACAGAAGACAATGGCATAATATTTTTAAAGTTCCAAAAGAAAACAAATAAAATACCCCCAAATCTGCCCATTGAGAATTCTGTAGCAGATGAAGTATCATTCAGATAAAAGATACAAACAAAATGTAAAAAACTTCATTGCAAGCAGATCAGTACTACAAGAAATGGTAAAGGAAATTTTTGAGGGAGAATGAATGTGATACCAAACATCCACTTGGATTTACTCTAAAAAATGAGGAACATTGGAAATGTAATAAATGAAGGTGAAATAAACACTCTTTTTTTTTCTTTTACTTTTAATTGCTTTATAAGATGACCAAATGTTTGAAGCTGTGGTCAGCAACACATTGCCCATGAACCAAATTTTGACCTCTGCAAGACAAGTGTTCTGCACTTTTGTTTACACTTTGCTTATGGCTACCTTTACACTACAGTGGCAGAACTGAGTGGTCGCAAAAACAACGTGGTACATAAAAATTAAAAATATTTATTGTTACCTGGTCCTTCACAGAAAATGTTTGCCAAGCTCTGGTCTATAATAGGAGTAGTGTATAGTGGCTTTTCTAATAGAAGAATTATGACAACATTAGCAAAAAGTATGGGAAGGAAAAACTGGGAATATACTGTGGTGAGGTCCTTATACTACATATGAAGCATGTATTATTTGCAATTAGACTCATTACACATAAAGGTATATTTTGTAAACCTTAGGTTATCAACTAAAAAAGAAAAAAAATTAAATACTAAGCAAATAGTAGACACTAAACAATCATAAAAAGTATGAAATTCCTAAAAATCTTATATGTTCTGGTATAATGTTATAAATCATAATTCTAGTTATTACTTTAAAATGTATATCTCAGAAATAACTAAATTTCCTTGTCAATTGCATTATGAACTTTCATCAAAAAAAAGAAATAGGAAGAGACTGAAAAGATAGTAGATATCAATCAATCCAACTATATAAATAAATCATATTAGGTGCAAACAGTCTAATCATACTGATTTAAACACAGAATTTTCAGATTGGATTTTAAAAAAGCAAGACCTAACCATATGTTGTGTCCAAGAAAACCACTTTAAGTATAAAGACAAAGATACGTTAAAGGTAAAAGAATAAAAAAAGATATACG